CTACATACTCAGTATTTTTGTTTTCTCCATTTAGTGGAGTCAGCTAGTTACAGATAGGTCACCTTTAAGAACCGGCTCCAGTGTCCTAGGAGTATACTGTGCTCATCTTCTAAGAAGCAGCTGGACCTGAGTCACCTGCCCGGTGTTCTCCAATTGTTGCAAGTGTACTGAATTAACTTTCAATTGAAGTTAAGCCACTTAAGTTGCTTAAAGTATTAGGTCCTATGAGGTTCCTCCTCTGTCTCTTGTATTTGTTTGTTTCTCTTTATTTTTCCTTTTCTTCATCTAGAAGCAAAACGGGAGAGAATAGAATATGTTTGTTCATCTACTATGACAAAGAAAAAAAAGACTACTCAGATAAGTAACATTAAAAAAAACAAGAAAAGACACCTCAAACATTGAAGAGTATTTGTGCTCTTATCTCAAAGCACGAATTGTATGCACTTTGCTTTTTCTAGATGTCACTTAAGGAAAACATTTGAATGGGCTTGAATGAATCATTGAGGATTTATTAAAGGGCTTTTATGAAATAAGCCAAGGATGGCCTGAAATGTTGAGCATTTGCCTGTGTTTCAGTTTCATGTCTGTCACGCTGTGCTTCTGAAATGTTAAGTTTCTGTGAAGCATCTGTAAGGTGAACCTTGTGGGTCAAACAACACCTGAGGCCTTGGAGTGCCAGGGGAGATTCTGCTTGGTTGATGACCTGATAAAGCTTCTAAAGTCACCTCAGTGTTTGCAACTTGAACATTTATTTGAAGTCCGCTATTCCGTTGAGAGGCATTCAAGTTTCTTCTCAAACTTACTCTCACTTGGGGTAAGGACCTAACATGGTTCTCCTTCATGTCAACACTTAATCCTGGAAAAGAGTTTCGTCACCTTTGGTTTTTCAAAATCTAGATAGGCTTTTGGCAGAAACAAAACGGACTGTCCACTAGTCCCTAATATGAACAGAAAATTGGTAATCGCGTGCCTGGTTTCACTTTACTTATGAGCCTCTATTAATCAGATTTCTTATTACCAGTCAGCTGATGCTAGATAACCGGTTCTGAACCATCAGACTCAAGTAGAGTTTAACAACCGCCTGTCTCATCTCCTGCAGAATGCTGTGTTAGTGTGCTACTGAAAGCCGTCATGGATTTCCTTTGCGTACTTTGGTTTACTTCACTTTCATAGGCCTTATTTGATTTGATCTTCACAGGCAGAGCAGGGCTTATGTCCGCAGTGCAGAGGAGGAAATCCAGAGGCCGTGATTTCCTTAGTCACATAGCTGGTGGGTGGATGGCAGAACTATTCAATTTGAGACTTTAACCACATCCTTTTGATTCAGTCTTTGGCTCTTTCTTCTCTGCCATGCCAGCTTTATCCCTCCTCTAATAAATTTGTTTGGAGAGCTAAAAGCTGTTACAATTTATTATAGAAGTAATAGCTGTTACTTATTTTGCTGCCCTCCCTCCATGTTGTTTTAAAGCATCAGTCCCTTTCTTCCCCTTTGTCTAACTCTACCCTGTTCATGAAAAAATTATTTGTGAAACACACAGACGTATGTTGTTATTACCTTACATTTAGGCAGTAATCGACTGCTAGTCATAAAAATGGGGATGGATAGGTTTTATAACGTGGGAACAAAACAAGTCTTTTTTTTAACTTTAAAATGTTGAGATTTGAAAATAAATTGTTTAAACCCTGAGCCGTTAGGGTTTCTGGACCCTTGGTAATGTACAGGGTCTTCCCGAGTTGAGCAGGAAATGGAGGGTAGCTGGGAACAGTCGTGAGCTGTGAGCTGGAACGTGAGGGGGCTTGAAGACCAAAGGTGACACGGCCGTGGACCTGCCGGGCCCGTTGGTGATCACAGATGAACAGATGGTCATGGTGAGGCGTGAAAAGGGATAACTGAACAAACCAAAGAAATGACACCTGGAAAAGGACCTGCTCCGACCTGGATACTTACATGAGTTCGGGAGCCTCACAGGGTCCACCACTGTTTAAATATGTGTGCAGCCGGAAGACTGCTCAGCTTTCGTGATTCCAGTCATTTTGTGCTCAGCTTTACCTTTTCAGACCAAAGTATGCTCAGGAAAGGAATCAGAATTGCACATCAAATCAGATTTTGACTTTTAAAAGTCCTCTTTTAGAGCTTCGGTTCTTACACAAGTCATAGAAAATACGTCTTCTTTTTCTTTGGCTTGAAAGGGAGATGGGCTCTAGAGCTTGGGTTGAGGGGGCTTGGAGTTAGAAAATTTGGACTAAGCAGACATTAATAAGTCTCTTTGTTTTTGGAATGTAGTCATAAGGAGATGAAGTGCTTTCTAAACCTAAATGGGGGTGTAGGGAGAAAAAAAAGGAGAGGGACAGAGAAGGAATATGAATAAGACCAAGGGAAATTGATAAGCTGGGATGAGACGTTGGGGCACACTCTGTTTTAAACATTATTTTCAGTGACAAAGTATTTCACCTTCATGATGCATTAAAAGACATCCTTTAAGGGGCACCTGGGTGGCTCAGTTGGTTGAGTGTTCTACTCTTGATTTTGGCTCAGGTCATGATCTCACAGTTCATGGGTTTGGGCCCATGTCTCTCTGTCTCTCAAGTAAACATAAAAAAAAAGGGGGGTGAGCTTTAAAAACAAAAGATATCCTTTTAAATTCTGTGCATTTGTGATAGGGAAGGGCTATAATAGTATGTGGGGGGAAAAGTTGCTTGAAGCAATATATTGCTTTTTTAACATTTAAGTTTCTTAAGGTTTATCTTTTTAATTATGAAACTTTTCAAACATACACAAGAATAGAATAAACTTCCCCACAACTTCAGCTCAGTTATCAAGATTTTACCCATTTGCTGTGTCCCTATTTTTTCTAATAAGTTTCAAAGCAAGTCCCACTGTCATTCTAACCCTGCACCCTTCACTGTACGTCTCCAAACAGTAGGGACATTTTCTTACCCAACCACACTGCCATTATCACGTCTAGTCCCCAGCATATGATCCGATCTCCCTGGTTGTCTCCATAGTATCTTTTTTCTTTGACTGCTTTCTTCAAATCAGGATCTAAACAAATTCTACTCATTACATTTGGTTGTTATGTCTCTTAAATTTTTCTTAATCTGCAACAGTCCTTTCCAAACCCCATTTGTGACTTTTTTCCCTCATGCCATTGACTGGTGGAAATCCATTCCATTGAACTGCAGAACGTCCCAAATTCTGTATTTGGCTGATGGCTTCTTTGTGGTATCATTTAACTTTGTTCAGCAACTCCTCATGTTTCCTGCAAATGAACTTTTTGGTCTCAGAAGTCCTTTATACACTTAAATTATTTGAGGACCTTAAAGAGCTTTCAATTGTGTGGGTTGTATCTGTCAACTTTACTGTATTAGAAATTAAAGCTGAGAAATTTAAAAAACATTTACTAGTTAGAACAATCATGAACCTATTATTATCTCAAAAAATGTATTTTCCAAAACAAAAGAAGAGTGGCATTGTTTTCCATTTTTGTACATCTCTAATGTCTTCCTTAACAGAAGACAGATTCTCATATCTGTTTCTGTATACGTTACCTTGGGACGTCACACACCAGGTAGTCTATGGATAACTCTGTAGGCATGAAAGAATGAGGGTGAAGAAAGTAAGTGACGTGTTAGTATTATGAGAATGGTTTTGACTTTATGGACCACCTGGTGAAAGGGTCCCCTAGACCACATTTTAAGAGACAGCTGCCTTAAGAGACTTGATTCTAGATTCAGGGTCAACTTTTTTGTAAGGATGCCTCATAGATGGTGATGTACGCTCCGTCTTTTATCATTAGGATCACACTGTATTGGGTCATATTATTGATTCTAGGATTCGCGGATGGGTTCAGGCGAGCCACTGTGATTTTTAATAGGGTGGTACCAGTGTTCTGTGGTATTAGTAGCTGTAAGTATCCAATTTTGCCGTCTTTATCAGTGTTCTGTGTATTTTCAGTTTTCCCTAGTTAATAGGAAGGAAATGTCGTCATAGTTTCCTCTTGAATTTCTTTGGTAATTGGTTTTTTGTTTTGTTTTTTACATTTTTCCACGTGTCCACTTACTTTATCTATCGTGTATCAATTTCTTTTGACTCCTACCTGTTTGACTTGTTGATGGCTTTTTAATGAATTTGGACAAAATTCTCATCTAATACGTATTTTAAGCCTTTCCTGTTCGCTATCCTGTTTTGCCCTTTCTGTGTTGCATCTTACTTTTGGTTATGCTATCTCTTACGTACTGAAGTCATTTTGACTGGTGATCTCTTTCCTCGCTGAGAGTGGACTTCTAGGAAAGTGGAAGATTGGTAACACTGAATTGGAATCTTGTAGTTGGAAAAGGCTGTATGAATCAGCTGCTCTTGTTCCGTGTTTGACAAAAACAAAAGGAAGACCTAGAAAAGTTATGGTTTACGCCATGTCTACACAACGAGTGGGTGCCAGAGTTGAGACTAGAGACCGTTTTCTCTCAGTTCTACCACCGTTTCTTTCTTTTTTTGAAATTTTTTTGAAATGTTATTTATTTTTGAAGGAGAGAGAGAGAGAGAGCACGAGTGGGGGAGGAGCAGGGAGAGAGGGAGACACAGAATCCAAAGCAGGCTCTAGGCTCTAAGCTGTCAGAACAGAGCCAGACTTGGGGCTCGAACTCACAGACTGTGAGATCATGACCTGAGCCGAAGTCGGACGCTTCACCGACTGAGCCACCCAGGCGCCCCTCTGCCACTGTTTCTAATAAGCACTTCCGTTAAATTTGGAATGAGAATGGGGAACTTGTCTTTTGGTTAAAAACCAAAGATTTCTGATTTTCTTACCATGAATTTTGTGCTTTGTGAAGGTTCGCGTCTTATTAGAAGAGCAGTGCAGCTGTTGTACTTAGTGGAAAAAGTACTATTTCTTATTCATTTTTACATACTTTAACATTTAGAACCACTCTGAGTATTTAAAGTATTGTTGCCTTCCCAGAGTAGAAAATGATCCAGTTTTGACCACTGTTTTGCCCAACAGGAAGCCTGCTGACCTGCAGAACTTGGCTCCTGGGACCCACCCACCATTTATAACTTTCAACAATGAAGTCAAAACGGATGTAAATAAGATTGAAGAATTTCTCGAAGAAGTCTTATGCCCTCCCAAGTGAGTATCAAAGAAAATGCGCACGGAAGCATTGCCATCTCTTTAAAGTTTGGTCTTTTCTGGCCCTTGGGGCCCTTTCTCTGGATGGTCCTGGGGTCAGACTCTTACAGCAAGCATTAAGGTGCAGTGACTGGGCTTCCCTTCATTCATTATAATTCATGCTCCACAGATGTCAGAACTGGCTTCTGTCAGAACTGGCTTCTGGCTCCGCCAATAAGCCTAGATAAGAGCACACACTGAAGGTGGGTTTGAGACGTGGGAGCTACGTTAGGTTAGCTCTGGTTATTTGAGGGGTAGTGGTCCCAAACTGAGAAGTTTGGGAAGGAGAAGAGATGGAGAGAGAGGTTCAGATGGAACCTAGCCAGAATGGCTAAGCAGGAGTGTGGAATACGTTGCTGGGGGATTCCTCATCAGGGCATTTTAAAGGCAGCTGTCTAAAGCCGTCACCCAAGGGAACTGACTCTTCAGACTGTGTCCCTGGGATTCAGTTTTTATTTATGTATTTCTTTGAGCTGTTATAGATTTCCAGGCCCTGCACATTAGCCCACGTGGTTAATGATTTTGAAGTACTCAACTATATTTCCTACAATGTGAGGTACACTTGAAGGACAGATGGACTGTGGTGACAGTTACCCGCATTGCACATGTGCAGTGTTGCATCCTACTATAATCCTGGAGTAGGTTCAATGCATTATGGATTTCTTTTAGACTTTTCTGGTGCCATCGTCCTGAAAACAGAACTGTTTTTCTTCTGGCCTGGGGTTTTCTTGCTAGTTGATCTGACTTTTACTTGCCATATCCAGATAAATTTCCCAAGAATGGGATTATTGGGTCAGAGGGTTCTAAAACAATTGTTTCCTCAGAACTCACTCGCTCATTTATGCTACAACCAAAGCCCTCTGAATACAGTAGTGAGTAAGACACAGTTCCTACCCTCAGGAAGCGCGGTCCATTATGGATGGAGAGGGGGTGGTGGCATGGTGAAGGAAAGTGAGTGGAGGCAGGAAGGGCTTTAGAAAAGAGACAATACCTGGCTTAAGCTTTAATGAACAAAAAGTGGCATCCTGCAGGTGAACGAAGGAGAAAGATGGGCAGTCTAGGCTTTTCCACAACTGTAGCGACGATTTTCATTATTCCTTCTTATTGTTTTTCTCCGAGGGAACAGACATTAAGATAATAGATAATAGTAGAACTAATATCAAAAATACTCAAGTTTCTTAGCATTCAGTGTTCTGTGAGACATCACAGCTTCTTAAATCGGACCTGGAAAATAAACATTTTCACTTTGCTTTTTATATACAGAAATTTCAGCTCCATTTTGTTTGGGCGTGTTCACAGAGATACTCTAACCAGAGATGGTCTTTTCTTTCACTTTAAATAATTTAAAACTTGGAAAACTTTCTAAAAAAAAATCAGTAAAGAAAAAAAAAAGTATCTGGAGATCTTTCTGTCCTAAAAGGTTCACAATGTGCTGAATTCTCTCTAAGGGTATTTTTTAAAAATCATTTTATTTTTTTTCATCATGCTAAATGTACTCTTTTTTTTTTTTTTTTTTGAAATGTTTATTTTGAGAAAGAGAGTGAGAGCGTGCATGTGCACAAGTGAGCAGAGGAGAGAAAGGGAGTGAAGGAGGGGGAGAGAGAGAATCTCAAGTTGGCTTCACACGGCACGGAGCCCAACACAGGGCCCAATCTCACAAGTGTGGGATCATGACCTGAGCTGAAATCAAGAGTTGGACACTTAACCACCTGAGCCACCCAGGGGCCCCCTAAGTGTACTCTTTAATCCCCATGCCTTATTCCCATTATATTCCTTGTTTTTATGCTGTAGTTTATATTCTGAAGAGTTTCTTTTTTTAAATTTTTTTATTTTTTTCAATGTTTATTTAATTTTTGAGAGACAGAGAGAGGCAGAGTGTGAGCAGGGGAGGGGCAGAGAGAGGGGGAGACACAGGATCCAAAGCAGGCTCCAGGCTCCGAGCTGTCAGCACAGAGCCCGATGCGGGGCTCAAACTCACCAACCCTTGAGATCATAACCTGAGCTGAAGTCAGCACTGAACCGACCTAGCCACCCAGGCACCCCTCTTCTGAAGAGTTTCTTTAAATTTCACTCTGTAGAAGGGAGTATTTTTTGATGTTGCTGATGGCTCTGCTGTTAAAATTAACCAACGTTCAAGTGCCAATTATGTGCCGTGCGCTGTGCATTATGGATTATGTTTGTGGATGATCTCTGTCCTCTCAAAGACTTTATGGAGAAACTGAGGACGAGTAACCTACGTAGCCTGTCCATGGTCTTACAGTCACTGGTGGCAGAGCTGGCTCCAGAGCCAGGCCTATATGACTTCCAAAACCTGTGTTTCCTCTATTTTCTTCCTTCTAGTTTTCTCCTCTTTGTGTTGTTGAGCTTGACTTTTATAAAAGAGGTGAAATGTAAGTCTTTAATTGGATTGTGCTTTAGCGAGTATAAAATTGTAGGCTAGTTCAAGTTGGGAGGAAGGGCAGGAAAGAAATCAAAGATAGCTTCCTGTGATGAGCCAGTGGGACCGAAGGTGTTTGTCAAACTTAATTCAATGAATCCTGTTTAAGAAATAGGTGAGGCTTAACTTGTGATGAGTTTTTATGTATATGCATTGGAAAAGCACGTTTGGATGGGCAGGGGCTTCCCCTTACTGGGCCCCGCGGCCCCTACTGTGAGGTGCTGATGAACAGCAGAGTCTCTGTTGGGCACAATTGTTCCTGGAAGATGAGCAGGAGGAGGAAGGAAGTTCTTTCCCGGACCACCACGGGCATCCCTTTCCCTTCCTGTGGTGTTCTAGGGCGTTCAGGGACTGCCCTGGCTCACTGCCTTTCCCCTCAAGGACAAGAAGGTCTTTAGTCCTTAACTACTGCTGACCCTCCTCACTCCCTGATTGAGAGCCTTCGTGTTTCTAGACTGGATGAAGAGAAAAGGCAGAGGAGTTGCCCAAGCTGGCAGACCAGAAGCTAGCATTTCTAATAACATGTTTTTGGCATTTGATGGTACTGAGAACAGAGTGTTTTTATGCGAGCACTTCTGATTCGATCATGACAAATATAAATACAGGCAACTGCTTGTTCTAGAGTTGTTTAGAATTTAGAGACTAGTGAAAAGTTTAAATCCAGGAATTTTTTTTTTTTTTTTTTTTGCTGGTCTGTGTAACCAGCATACATAGAAGAAACTTTCTCTTTCTTTTCCTCTGGGGAAAGTATTTATAAATATATAACTAATTCCCCTTGCTTGAATTAAGGAACTACTTTGCCAAAAAAGCTTTCAAAAAAGCTTTGAAACTTGGGAGTTTTAACTGAAGCAGACCGGTATACTTGGCTAACTTACTGATAAAAAAAAAAAATAGAAGGATAGGGGAAGTTAGATAATTTTGGAGATGAGCTCTGTAAAGGGTTATTAATCCTTTTTTTTTTTTTTTAATGTTTGTATATTTTTGAGAGAGAGCAAGAGAGAGCAGGGGAGGGACAGAGAGAGAGGGAGACATAGAATCCGAAGCAGGCTCCAGGCTCTGAGCTCTCAGCACGGAGACCGACCTGGGGCTCGAACTCACAACAGTCGAGGTCATGGCCTGAGCTGAGGTTGGCCGATCAACCAACTGAGCTGTCCGGGCACCCCTAATCCTGTTTTTGTTGTTTTTTTTTTAAAGTGAGAAATACAATGAAAGTTGAATTTACAGGGATAATTTAATGTGTTGTATACTCAGACTTTATTCTTATATTCACATGAGAAAGCAAATGCCTGAGATCTTTCCTAAAAGGATGGGAGTATTCTTAGCTAGTCTTACCATTCACAGTCTGTGATGTAATACAGAATAAAGGACTGATCTGAAAGTCTTTGTACCCTGGATGCTCATCCCCGTGGTGTTGCTGACAGGTAGCCTTTTGTTAATTACTTGCCTGCCTTTTTGTTCAATGTTGAAATGAAGGTTCTCAGTCGAAGTTTTGCTTTATCAAGCTGTTTGGGAAAGTGAATAATGATGAATTGTTAAAATCCAGTATTTGAGGAAATGCAAAATGAACTGGCAACTGATTTTGGACCTCCTGGTTTAGAATTTGCTTTATCTTTCAGAGACCCCAATCTGTCCTAAAACAAAAGCAAAAACAATACTTGGAGACAGGAAACCTGGGTTTTAGTTTGGCAATACTTTTAACTAGTCTAGGGATTTGGGGACCAAGAATGTAAGCTTTCTGGAATAGAATTTTCTTTTAGGCAAAATGAGAATTTGAGGTGGTCTCTTGTAAGTATTCTATCGATTAAATAGTACAAATTTAATGGTTTGTCTTGGAGAAGAGTAGGGTATGCCTAACCTGCTTTAGAGGACAGTTTTTATTTTTTAAGAATCATAATAGCATCTGTTTTCATATGGTTAAGGATATGCTGATTGCAAATCCTTCTTCATTCTTCCCTGTTAATTAAAATAGGTCTTTAGTAAATATGCCTCTGTGCGCTCATCATTATATCCCCTACACCTAGAATAATGCCTGACAGTGCAGGCCCATAATAATTAGAATAAATGAATATATGTGAGTAATGAATATATAAATGATCTACAATTTAAGCCTACCTTCACGCCTCTTATTTTGAGAATTAGGAAGTGAACTTTATTAGAAAAAGTAGGTACAGCTAAATATTGGGTGGGGTAAAGAAGAATAATTATGGAAACTTGGCTAGAGGAAAACATAGATGTATTGAAGAGGCACGTAGGTTCCTTGTGCTATTTTTTGTTTGGAATGAATCAATGAAGTTACTGTATTACAGGCAGTAAAAACATTTAAACTGGAGGCTGTTGTTTTTATACTCGAGGGGACTTCAGGGAGGTGAACCTGGAATTAACTCTTTCAGCCCAAAGCCGGGGGCAAAAAAAGAGAGAGAGAAAGAGAGGGTAAGGTTTTCTATAGTTAAGAGGGAAAAAAAAAATTATTATATATTATTAATGTAGTATACATTATACTGTATGAAATTCATCGTTCATTGAAGAATTTGTCCTGTAAATATTTCTGTTTATAAGAGAAATCTTTAAGTTTCACAATTGAGAGTTAGTAAAATGAAAGACAAATGGAGCCTATGAGTATTCAGTAGATACTTTATAATCTCCTTACCCATGTAGTCCTCTGTCCAGATTTTTACATGTACCTGTCCTTGATTTCAGAATCGCAGATGTAAAAAAATATGAATATAAAAGCTAACCAGAAACTATAGCTTGCAAGTAAATTAAATTTCTACCTAAAAATACCTCCCCTTCATTTTTAATTTTAAAGAAGTGGAAAGACCGCATCCTAAACTATCTGAGGAAACCGAAGTTCGTAGTTTCATGTCAGGTTTTTTCCAAAGTCTTACTCCCCCAGGCCCACTTTCCAGGGAAGTTTGGCAGGGAGTTTGAGGAGATGAATCTGTCTTCCTACTGGGGTGCTGATGGTCTGAATTCCTGTGGCCGCCAACTCCCTGTGTGCGTGCGACTCCGCCCAAGGGAAGAGGGAGGAGCTGAGCCTTTTCACATGTATTTTCCAATTTGAGCAAGAAATAGACACTGAGTATGTGTGTTTGGGATTTAAATATGCAAAATACACATCACATCTCTGTGTGTGTGTGTGTGTGTGTGTATGTGTGTGTTTAAAGCTATGTGTCATGTCAAAGTAGACCAACTTTGTAACAACACAACAGAACACTTGTTAGCAAAATTACGGGCAACTTCTCTTCCAGTTGCCCAGTGCCACCCTTACAGTGTCTAATACAGGGAAGGTTTTGGAAAATCCCGAGCGTGGGATTGAAGTGAGCGGTCCGCTTCCTGCTGTTTTTGTCTTGACCAAAATGCCTGATCTTTCCCGCTGTCGGGATTCTCTGGCACTGCTGCATGGGGTGGTTCAGGGCAGGGCACACACCAAGAATCTGGTTGGCATCTCTGTTTTGAGAAAGCTCCGTAGTTAAAATGTGGCTGGCGCAAGCGGAGGAGGGGACTTTTTAACTTGACGTAACACTGGTTTCTTGAAATTCCTGTCCAGATAGCCAGCCACACATCACTAGCGGCCACCCTACTGGGAAATTCAGATATAGAATACTTCCTTCATTACAGAAAGTTCTTTTGGACAGTGCTGCTCTGGAGCTCTCTTTCTAAGACCCGCATTGGCTTGGCACCCACCTCCGAGCAAGCAGACTGTTTCCCCAGCGTTCTAATTTATAAAATGGAAGTGAGCGCGGATGCCCTTTGCTTGCCAAGAATATTAATATGCGAACAAAAACACTGTGCAGAGCTTTGTTTCCTAAGGAAAAAACACATCTTAAAAATACCATAGAAAACAGATGATGGCATCTCTTAGAGTCATAACTGTTAGAAGATGTCTAGTAACTGCTAGCACGATGGTTTGTGGATTGAGAGAACTCAGCGCTAACAGATCGCTGGAGGATCTTTCTAATCCTTTATCACCTTTTCCCGCCAGGTACTTGAAGCTTTCACCAAAACACCCAGAATCAAATACTGCTGGAATGGACATCTTTGCCAAATTCTCTGCATATATCAAGAATTCAAGGCCAGAGGCTAATGAAGGTAAAAGAACAAAACAAAACAAAAAAACCCCACAGACGATTGGATTACCACTGCAGATAAACAAACCAAAAAACCCCCTCGAATAAATCCAAAAAATCCCGTTATACGGTGATTATAAATGGTTACTTTGGAGTCCAGATAGTCCCATTAAGTATTAAAAACTGGCTTTCCAAGTTGATTAGAGGTTGTTGTTTTCCTATCTGGGGCTAGTGGTACAGTGCCTGCCATATAGTGGATGTGTGATAAAATGTTTATTGAACAAATTGTTTTCGCAGTCTTCTGAGAAGTTACCATGAAGGGGAACCAAGCAAAGACTTAACGGTGCATCAGAAACCATGGATTCTGTGGTTGTGGTGGTTTGGAATAGACTGATTTAACTTCATTTAAATTATTACTAAATCTTTTGTTTATTCTTGGGTGCTGGCAGCCTAAAGTCAGCCTGGATGGATTTTTGTGATACTTGTCCTTTTTAAATTTTTTTTTATTTTTACTTTAAAAAATGTTTTAAGTAGGCTCCATACCCAGCATGGGGCTTGAACTCATGACCCTGAGATCAAGAGTTATGTGCTCTTGCCACTGAGCCAGCCAGGCGCCTCTATGATAATTATCCTTAAAGAGCAATTTTGGGAGGGACTCTTAAGAGGGCATTTATACTGGGGAGTATAATTCCTAATTTCTTGCATCCTGAAATAGGATTTTAGTTTTAAGTCATATTTTCATGGTGAGTATTGTTTAGGGTAGTACAGATACAAATTCCTTCTTTTATTATTATTTATTTTTATTTTTATTTTTTTAACGTTTATTTATTTTTGAGACAGAGAGAGACAGAGCATGAACGGGGGAGGGTCAGAGAGAGAGGGAGACACAGAATCTGAAATAGGCTCCAGGCTCTGAGCTATCAGCACAGAGCCCGACGCGGGGCTCGAACTCAACGGACCGCGAGATCATGACCTGAGCCGAAGTCAGACACTTAACCGACTGAATCACCCAGGTGCCCCCAAATTCCTTCTTTTATTTATTGAGGGACAGTATCTTATTTCATTTACCGAAACTATATATGGTGAAGGGAGGTCTTTTTGAAAGAGGGCCCATTTAATGAACCTTGTCTTAACTACACCACTCAGTAATTTTTCTTTTTCTTCTCTTTGAGAGGCATCAAAGCATCCAGCATCGTTCTCTCTGGATAAAACTCTGTGGAGAGAACGTTAGTGTTTATTAATTAAAAGTAATCACAATACCCAAAACGCCAGCTCCTAAAGACACTTGAATCCATCGTAGTTTTAGACAGTTTGGTAGCCTGGGTGTGGTTCTTTTGGGTAGAAGTTTATGGCTACAAATGAACAAGAGCACCAAAGGGGGGAAATAACAGTGCTGGTTAAGCAGGAATAAACATCTTTTAAAAAGTTGAAACACTTGCTAATTTTCTGATGTTATTTCAGTAGGCAGAGTTCCAAGCTATTCAGGCTTTTTTAAAAATTATTATTATTAAATTTTAAAATTGCAGCAGTTTATAATTTAGTATTGAATTTCAATGGTTTCTGGGATAATATTCACTGCATGCGATGTTTTCCTACAAAGGGAGGGAGGGAACAGTCTTAGTGTCCAGCCCTGGCTTGTAGCTATTAAATGTGTTCCAGTAATTGCCTTGGGTTTGGGAGCACTTTTCCTAAGTAACTGGCTTTTTTTCTGATGGATGTTTCAGTCTAAGCCTTTTAGATACCAAGTAAACAGTTACATTGGAGCCCCTCCTGTCCACACACAGTATGTTCTGTTGTCCCCTTCCTTTATCCAGGTGACTCTTCTTTCCGTGAAACTGCCCTTTTATATCCAGATGCTCTTGCCCACATTTCTTTGAACTCTCAGAGTTAAGTTCATAATGTTTTTATTTCTCCACGTAGCCTTTGGAAACTGGAGGGTGGTTGAATTTCTTTTGACACTTGGTGGGGAGGAAAGGGGAAAAAATATATTTGCTTAAACACACACACACACACACACACACACTCACGCGCACGCCAAACAATTGCTTTGGGGGATGGGACGGAGGGGAGAGAACAGGGGAGAAAGTGACTCACTTAAGTATAACTTTGTATTCTGTTTTTTCCTATCAATTTGTTACTGTCTTAAGTAGCCACCTACGCTTACTGTCCTTAGAATTGTAACCACTAAGAACAAACAACATAATGGATCAGACAGTGAATAACTTAGAAGGCTTTATATTAAATTACCTATTGGTAAATAAGAATTCCAGTTGCCAAGCAACCTTCCCCCATAGGGCCTGTCACTGCCCTGGGACTTTAGAAAACAGTATTTCAAATTACTATGGAGCTTACTGAGTATATATATATATGTGTGTGTGTGTGTGTGTGTGTATATATATACACGTTTCAGATGTCTTATCTGTCTGTTTAGTGCAATAAAATGCCTTAAATAAGCCTAAGAAATTAGTGCTTCTCCTTCTTCCCCCAAACTATAAACTGCTTACGTGGAGATGAATTTGTCATTTTTACACAGTAAATCGGGGTAGGCAAGGTTTTGATTAGTTTTACCAGCCTATTAAGTATTTTACAAAACTCAGTATGTTTGAACATTTTTAAGACATTTTAAGACCTAGTTCTAAGTGAGGGATTAGATGTCTAGATACTGCAGTATTGGGCCAGTGAACGAGAAGGGTCAGCACTTAGATTGGGTAGAAAATAAACAAATAGGGTTTAAAGAATACAATAAAGGGAAATATGGTAGGTCTGGAGAGAGGGAGGAAGGGAGCAAGGAAGAAGGAAAGAAGGAAGGGAGAGAAAGGTTAATTCTTTTGGTAACATGTCTAAGTTGATTGGGAGAAGATTTGTGTAATCTTTTGAAGCATTAAAAGAAGTTAATAGTCATTCCTCTCATGGGAATGAATTAGGTAGGACTTGTCCAGATCCACTTTTTTTTTTCTTCAGTTCTGGGATTTCATTAATTTATATAAATTATTAAGTTCCCAAATGTAACTGTTTAATAGGTAATTTATTAGGGTGTTGGTACTTATAATAGTCTTTTTTTTTTTTTTAATGTTTGTTTATTTTGAGAGAGGGAGAGAGAGAATCCCAAGCAGGCTTGGAACTGTCAGCACAGAGCCTGACGCAGGGCTTGATCTCACTAACTGTGAGATCATGACCTGAGCCGAAATCAAGAGCTGCTTAACTGACTGAGCCACCCAGGCACCCTGATATTTATAATATTCTTAAGAGCTCAATGAATTGGCAGTGATGAAACCCGCCATTATATGTTCTGAGGCATATTTCATAGTGTCCAAATTCCTATTTTTAAATGGAGGCAAGGGATCTCTGTAAGTTCTAATTAGTTCCTTTTTATTCAAAGTTCATCTTTCCTCCCCTCTTCCTTGGCTGTGCCCCCCCCCACCCCCCCCCCCCAGAAGTGTTTGGAATCAGAGGGTGGTTGTTTACCATTGTAACTATGTAACCGAATTATAGATCTAATCATCTTTAAATATTCATTCCCACTCCCTATTTTCTACTTGGCCTTTAAAAATTGTTTGTGTAAGATTACCCTTTATTGAAATTAGCATGATCGTGTTACATTTCATGCTTTCTGCCTTGCATTTACTCATTCAAATTATACAGTGATTGAGTAATGTATGCTTACTAAAAAAGTTACAATAGTTTAGAAATAAATTTAATGGAATTTCAGTGTCCTTCTTAATAACCTTATATAAATTCTTCCCCAACAGTTAGTATTCATCCTTTTTTCTATGTAATTTTGCAAACATTGTATATGAGTGTGTATTTATGTGTGTTTTACATTCTGCTATTGTCTTTTTCACATATTATGTTGTAGAAGTCTTCCCATATCAAAAAACATAACAAGCGTTATGTTTCAAATGTTGTAAATTTAGGATATTTTATTTTTCTGTTGGATACATTTGAAAACCAGTTCAAGAAAAGGATGAATCTAGAGTAGCTTGGAGATCATAGATCTACCTCAGTTTTTAGAAATGTTGTTTAATGTGTTCCATAATAAGGATTTTTATTTAATTATTTCCCTGTTGATAGTCATATAGATTGTCTCAAGTTTTTTGTTTTGTTTTTTATTATGACAAACAGTGACGCCAGTCACAGTGTCCTTGTGCTACATTCTAAATAGGTCAGAAGGTTTTGTTCCTCAAAAGTCCTCACCAGTTTATATTCTCACTAATGTGAGACTATTCATTTCCCTATACTTCTGACCCTGGCATGTGTGTGCGTGTGTGTGTGTGTGTGTGTGTGTGTGTGTGCGCGCGTGTGTGAAAATTTTTGCTATATTTTCATAGGCAAGAAAGGGTGTTTCGATTTTCAGAATTAATTTAAAACTAATTGTATGGCCTCTATTGTAATTAAGTACTAATTTTTTTTGGAGAGCTTTTGAAATACCTTCGTAGAGATATCAGCATTACCACAGCAGGGGGTATCAGAGAGTAACAGTGCTAAGACAAGAGCTACTTTCTCATGGCTTGCTATTGCCTTCTAGTGGTTAATGTTGACGTTTTCTTTCTCTTAACTGTAGATTCCTTCGTGGTTTGTCTTCAAAATTTCATTATATTTATTGAATGATGCTCTGTAGTACCTCTCGGCACCTGTGTTTTTCTTTGTTTTGCTGGGCTTCCTTGTGTTGTTTCATAAAAAAGTGAATCAAAGTAATTCAGCATTCTTTGTTTTCATTACTATACCCTTTTTTCTGAGATTCTTAATGAATAATCACATTCTAATGAGGTACAGCAGTTCAACTTCAATGTGGATGCTTTACTAAGTCCAAAAGGATGGAAAGAATAGTAATTGTAATGTTTGGCTAGGTTCTTAAGTGTAGTCTGTGCCTTATTATCTCTGGGACGATAAACATTATGTTTCAAATATTGTAGATTTAGGATATTTTATTTTTCTGTTGGATACATTTGAAAACCAGTTCAGGAAAAGGATGAATTTAGAGTAGCTTGGAGATCATAGACTTGCCCAGACTTGTCATTCCCCTCAAGTGCCATTGGAGACATTGTTTCAGTGTTTGAATTCAGGCAGTATTCTCCTCCATAGAGGCGGTGACTCTGTTCACTATAAACCCATCAAAGAACAAGTCATTGTATCTAATGTGTATTTATTCTGTATTCATTGATTTTGATAGGAAGCGTATTGAAGCTTTGTTTTTTATTTTTATTTTTTTTTTACCGCCCTGAGATTCTGCTGGCCCGTCCCCAGCCCTTTTAAGTATAACCGTGAAAACTTTTCCATCAAGCCCTGGACTCCTCACTAACCCGCCTATTTCTCACATTTCATTCTCTTGTTAATTTATAAATTTGACATTTCAGATGACTGAGTGCATGGTGATAACTTAGATGTAATCAAAAAGTTATATTAATTGCCTTTGTATTTTTGATCTATTTTTAAATGGCTTAATTCCTTGTCACTTCCGTGGTTGCAGTTGAGTTCTGCTAACTCCTCAGCTTTATTTTACTGGGTTCTAGTGCCCTCCTGCTTAACTGTTTGCTCTAAGAAATAAACTAACTTGATTCCGGCTATGGCTGGAGTGACCTTTTATTAATAAAATAGGTAGTTCTTTGTTCTGGAGCTTGTCCCATATCATTTGACATACATACATTCCAATTTGATATTTACCTAAGTAAAAAATTTTTACCGTTTCTTCTTTACATTTTAAAATGGCTCTAATGTTCCTAGCAATACGCAGTTCCTGCCTCTGTTTTCAGCTTCCCACAAAGATGTAATAGATACAAATATCTCCACTTGTCTGACTTTAAAAGTATCTATTCTACATTTTCACATGATTTCCTTTTGAACCCTCTCCAGACATTTAAGAAACTCTAAACTTTTATACTTCGTTGTGAGCCTTTCTCAGTCTGGGGCAGATGTTGAACAGGCATTTAATTTGTGCTTGACTAGAGTGCCATAAATTTTAGACGATATACAGAAGCATAAGACACGGACTTCACCTTCAAAGAAAAAATAGTCTGGTTGGGGAAACAAGAATAATGTATTAATTGAATAACAAGAATTAGAAGGAAGGAGTTCAGGATTTAGTAGACTATTAGTTTAATATAAACCAGCCCCGAATTAAAAAATTTAACAGTTCTAAAAAATCTAACAATGCTCATATTAAAATACTGAGCATAACTAATACATATTTTTAAAAAGCATATTAAAAAAATGGGTGATGGGCACTGAAGAAGGCACTTGTTGGGATGAACACTGAGTGTGTATGTAAGTGATGAATCCTGGGAATCTACTCCCGAAGCCAAGAGCATACTGTATCTATACCCTGTATGTTAGCTAACTTGGTGATAAATTATATATTAAAAAAGAAAACGTTTCAGGTAGAGTGTAAAAAAAAAAAACCCATATTAAAAACTACAAGGTATGCAGTTGTCAGATACTGACTTTAAAGTAACTTTGGGGCTCCTGGGTGGCTCAGTCAGTTGAGCGTCCGACTTTGGCTCAGGTCATGATCTCGCGGTCCATGAGTTAGAGCCCCACGTCGGGCTCTGTGCTGCCAGCTCAGAGCCTGGAGCCTGTTTCAGATTCTGTGTCTCCCTCTCTCTGACCCTCCCCTGTTCATGCTCTGTCTCTCCCTGTCTCAAAAATAAATAAAACGTTAAAAAATAAAATAAAATAAAGTAATTTAAAAAAAATGTTTATTTATTTATTAAAGTTTTTTTAAGTGTTGGGCACCTGGGTGGCTCAGTTGGTTAAGCGTCCGATTTCGGCTCAGCTCATGATGTCACGGTCCGTGAGTTCAGCTCAGGGCATGATGTCATGGCCCCTGAGTTTGAGCCCCGCATCTGGCTGACAGAACATGAAGCAGGCTCCAGGCTCCGAGCTCTCTGCACAGAGCCCGACATGGGGCCTGAACCCACTGACTGCCCGAACCCACCCGTCTGTCCTTTCTCGATGTACAGTTTTGTTTCCAAGCTCTGTTGGTTTTTATCTCCTAAGTACCTCTAAAATCCATTTATTCCTTTTTATGTCTACAGCCCCTTTTATCCAGCTAAGACTGCCATCTTTTATCTGGACTGCTAGGAAGGGACCAAGGGATGAGTGGGTGGGACTAATGTGGAAGAAGATGTTTTGGGTTAGGACATATTTATGTTGCTGGTGAAATACCTAATATGTAGCATATGAAAACTTTGTCTTTTTCTCTAATGGAACCAAGTTTATTCAAACTTATACAACCGTATTGATTGTCACCTCAGGGTATTTAACTTTCTTTTATGGCCAAGCACTGTAGTCATCAGTGTGAGCTCGTCCATTCAGGGTGTGGGGGGTGGGGGTGAAGGTAGATTGGGAAGGCAGAGGATAAGAAGGGATAATAGGAGACCTGTCTGTGTTATTCCACAGTCCTCTCCAATGACATTCCCACCCCCTCTGCTGAAGGTCCTTAACCTTGATCAGGTATACAGAGGTGGCTCTGTCTCACTTAATTTCTGAATTATAACAATCATAGCATCTTAATCTACTTGGCTGAAGAGCCCCCTGATTCAGTATTATAAATTGAACTCACTAATCTGACCTCTGTGTTTCCCATGTTATTATAAAATGTGCTATTCTTGGCTTCTTGTGTGTTACATGACAGTGCAGAAACTTCGGGTTTTCTGCTTGGATTGTCTGTATTGGAGTTTCTTAACACGTTTCTTGGTGATAAATCCAAATATTCCTGGGGAAGGGGAAGCAGGCGTTAAAATTCAGGGCAAGAATCTCCGTCGTAGCAAGATTTTATTCCCTAGATTTGAATTAATAGGTTTTGCCTTTTCTCACTCACTTTTCTGGTTTAAACCTCAACTGTGTTGGGCCACAGTGTGTTTGTAAGTGGGGCGCTTAGTTATTAAGTTTTACGGATTCTGGTTTCTGAAACTGTCCCGCTTGTTTCTGGATTTATCTGAACAAATGTATTTGTTTGTCTCATACTGGCCCCATGTAAATAAGCTGCAGGAGAGCAGGAACCTTGTCTGTCTAGTTCGACAGTGCTTCGTGTCAGCGTAAGCATTTGATAAAGCAGTTACGGGCTGGAAGAGTAACGCTTCTATTTTGGGGCTCGGGTGGTTTTCCTTCTTACAGTGTCCCCATCTTTCTTTCAGCATTGGAGAGGGGTCTCTTGAAAACCCTGCAGAAACTGGATGAATATCTGAATTCTCCCCTCCCTGATGAAATTGATGAGAACAGTATGGAGGACATTAAGTTTTCTACACGTAAATTTCTGGATGGCAATGAAATGACATTAGCTGACTGCAACCTGCTTCCCAAACTGCACATTGTCAAGGTAGGTCTATGGGATGTGGTGTCACTTTGCAGTTAGGGGGCTCTTCTCTGTTTATTGAGATAGCGCTTTCTTTGTGTGTGAAATTTCCTCGATCTTCTGTATATGACCAGGAACCCCGAACAGTAGAAATTAATGCTATTTAGGCAACGGTTGAAATGCCTTAGAGTTAATTAAATGGAAAATTGTGTCTTAAAATTGAGGCATATGAGAAAGAAGAATATTTTTTCCTATGACTGCATAAAAATTAAAAAAGGTAGCAGGTAACTTGGAATTGGAGTTTGCTACACAAACTTACATTGTCAAATTCTGTTCTGTGATCATCTGGTACAAGGCAAAAAATATTTACTGAGCATTTCTTGTGTAAGACATTGTGCTAACTAGAATAGGAGTAAGCACTAGTTGTGCAGTAAAGGTCAAGACCAAGGAAAACGGACATCTAAAATAGCATGTGCGCTTTAAGGTATTTATCGAGCAATGCCCCTTGGCTGTCTCCTCCCTGGATTCCCCAGAGCAGGCGTTTATGGTCACTGTGACATTACTGAAGTTCTGATGTCGTGTGCAGTCCTGTCATTATTTAAAACTCTAGTTAGGACGAAGGTGACTTCTTCTCCAATAGAAGCAGTTCTCAGAGATTGTTGGAATTAGTTTGTCCCCAAACTGGAGATATGTCTGGTGTACAAGTCATGGAAAATAAATGTTCACTTTCAATCTCTTTCTGTTTTCAGGTGGTGGCCAAAAAATATCGCAACTTTGATATTCCAAAAGGGATGGCTGGCATCTGGAGATACCTAACTAACGCTTATAGCAGGGATGAGTTTACCAATACCTGTCCCAGTGACAAGGAGGTTGAAATAGCATATAGCGACGTAGCCAAAAGACTCACCAAGTAAACTATCACTTATGAGAGAGATGATTTCACGTCTTCCCCTAAGAACATGCTTTTCCTAACAGACTGCTCCTGTTCCTATAAAGTAGAAATCTTATTTTGCATGAACATGCAGTTATTCAGGATTAGGATCAAGGATAGACCAGGTATAGTAGCTGTCTTTAAGTACACACTCCTAAGCAGTATTATGTTAAAATTCTTCACCCTGCCTCCCCTTCCTGCCCCTACCCCTTCCCCTGCCCCCCATTTGGGGACACTCCATCACGCTCTTTTCACTTTAGAGGTCCTTTGCCATCCTTCCGGAACCCTCACTGTTGTGTCTGTTCGCTTTGTGTAGACGGCGGAACTTTGAGTGTTGATGTGTGAACATAGTAACCGTGACCTCCTCAGTCAGCCCCCAGCTGGTGCACAATGCGTGGTACAAGGAATATTTATGTATGTTTGGAATTTTAGAGTATTTCGTATATGAAGGGATCGCCACCATATCAGAATACCGCCGTATCTGTCAGTTTCGGGATAATCTGTCCCGGGTGTGCTCCCACCAGTGAAGAGAGCCTTCCACAGAAAGTCACTACAAACTTTGCCATTTCACTTTTGTACGTGGGTTTTTACTTTTGCCCGAAAGCATTTATCCCTCAAACCAGATGTAACATCTGACCCTATGTAGAAGCTAAAAGTTTAGAGAGAGAGAGATGATAATTCTCAAGGTCTTCCTCAAGTCCATATGAGAAAAACCAGTGGGCACCTGCCCTTCTGTCTAAATGTGTGGTGGGTTTTTTTTATGTTTTTTTTGTGATTTTTTTTTTTTGTGTGTGTGTGATTTTTTTTTTTTTTTTTTTTTTTTTTGGTATGTATTTTGCCCAGTGCCATTCATTTGGAACCATATTGCTTTCCTCCTTTATTTAAAAATCTCCTTTTTAGGTAAGCATAGACTTTGCTGTCTGTAGATCTTTTGAGCAACACTACATAAACTGATCTTTAGTTGATTTTGCTGTCGCAGTACAACGATTTGTAATGATTAACCCTCACAGATATTAACCAAAGGAATGTCGGGTGGGTTTGTCAAAATGGCAAGTAGAATTTTGTTTCTAAAACATATTTAATTAATGTGGATCATCTAAACAATGCACTTTCCACCCTATATTAAAAACAAGATAAAACACACGTTACGAGCTTTCCCATTCCACTCCCGTTTACTGTTAAACTTTGGGTTGGAGGATGGTTCGCTCCTTTGGGACTAAATTGTAGTTGTGATGGTGAGAATGCATTTACCGAGTTTTGCCTAATCTCAGTCATTGTACGTCTTTCCATTAAATTTTTCTAAAGCCGCACTGAGGGATAGCACTCTGCATGCTTGTTTTTTAGATTGACTTCCTAAACGAGGGATGGTCTGTGCTCTGACAGGGGAGGATGAACTTGGCAAAAATAAAACAAAAAGTCTGCTATGTATTTATTCATTTTTTAAAAACGTACTTTATAAATACTGCTCCAAAGACCATGGCTGTGACTCGAATACACTTTTGGTAATTTTTTATATATAACTTGTTTAAGAAGTGCTATTTCTCAGAGGCTGTTTTTGGAAATTCAAGTATATTATTGCTTTAAAGTGGCGGTGTTTCCCCCCACTTTGATGTGGTAACATTCAGTAAGCACTGGTGTTATGGAAGCAGCCTGATTTTTATAAATGTACTGCATTTTTATCAGTAATTGCTTGGTATAGAAGGGTGAGCTCCATATTGTCTCCGTTCGGCTCAGGGAAGTTTCTTTGCCTTACCTTTCTTAGAACGCCTTATTGGTGATCGAAAGTTGGGGCACCCACCTTTTTATAATTAAATATTGGATGATGACTTACCTGGTTCCAAGAAGAGCACTCAGGTTATCATTGAGAGGTTCTATAGCCTCAGTGGGTGAAAATGTCGCATCTGCACCGGGAAGCACATTGCCAGTTCTCACCTACTTTCTAAGTGGTAAGTTGGCATTCAGGTGATACCGAGCCGGGCCTCGTAGCCTGAAGTATGAAAAAGATTCAAGAGAAGGGGGTCTGTTCTTCCAAGTGAATGGTGGCCTCGGTGCAGAGGAGAGGGTAATGAGGACAGCGGCACATTCCTCAAAGTAGAGCGATGGAAAACACATTCTGAAATTCAGTTGTGAAGTATTTCACTTTCGATATTTATTCTCTTCAGCGTCTTTTAAAAATTTATCCCATGATTATACTTGGCTATCCCTCTGGATACCTAAGGAAGGCAGGTTTCTCTCTTCTGATTTTGATGTAGAAAGACCTTACTACTTTATCAGGGAAGATAGATAAAATTGAGATTGGCAAATGGACAAAAAGCTAGTAAAGAGAATAATCCTAGAACATTTTTTTTTAATCCCATTTTGTACTTGCGGAAAGGTCGTAGCTTAAGATATTGGGAGCTATTAGGACATAAAAGTTTTCATGGCAATTAGTGTATGATTTGACATAATGTGGATCATCTGATATTTGTTTCTACAACTACTGAATCATTTCCCCCTTCATTTAAACCCCTTACCTTCCCCTTCAACAAGATTAGATTCTGAATGGAAACTCCCACTGTTTTCCAAGGAATTCTGAGACATTTTTGTGTTTAACAGTTGGAAAGCTCTTTATTTCAGCAGATATAACTTCCTTTTTTTTTTTTTAAATGTAGATGCAGATATTCTCTAGCCTTCTATCTTTTATTAGGATTGTTGGCTTTTGTGATGAAAATCATATAAGATTTGATTTCTTGGTAACTCAGCTTACACAATTTATGTTTAAATTCTTGAGCAATCTGTATGCAATTAAGAGACTTCTGACATTCTTACACTAAGTTGATCAACTCTAGAGTTTAGGCAATTTAACTTCTGTTGAGTTTTGAATCTCTCCAGAGTTATGTAGATAGCTTTTATTTCTGTACATTTAAAATCTCCATTTAGAAAATATCTGCAAGGTAAAAAAAATGGGAAGAAATAGCAATGTATTTTTTCATGAACATTTTGATACACATTTCATCAAGTTTATTGATTAACCATTTTCTTATACTGGTTATAGTCAGTATTTGATTCTGAGAGGGAAGTATTCATTATTGATACACTGTATGGGCTTTTTTTATTCCATCCTTTACAAATGATCAAGATTGGAGCCGTAAAAATTATATTTTTATCATGGAAAAAATTTCAACTCCCCAAGTCATAATGTTGAACAGAATTGGAATATTTTCTTTAGAATTACTTGAAAAGGCAAATGAAAGCTTATTATAGAATGCTTGTATTTTCTTTTCTCTCTAGAACCAGTATATTGCTGGCAGCTATTGTATTAAAAAAATAAAGTATATTTTCACTATCATAAAAGGTTCTTTTTTCCCCCCCTCATGAAAATAAATAGTAACCTGGGGTAAAAGTGTTTTACTTGAGACTACTTTTTTCCACGAGTGGGTGATTCGGCACATTTAATAGATTAAAGGGGGGAAAAATATAGTCATCTCAGTAGGTGGATAAAATAATTTGATAAGAACTTTCATAATTCTCATTCTTAGCAAAATAGGACCAGCGGCAAAAAAAAAAAATGTTTAACCTGGTGAAGCCATCTAAGAACCTATAGCAAATTTCATAACATAGGTTGCCTTTTATCATGGCTATTATCCAGCTACTTTCTACAGCTATTTTATTAGAAACATTCTAGCCGGTGCAGTAAAATCAGTAGAAAGAACAGGGGATGGAAAAGAAGTGACCAAATGGCCGCTCTTTGCAGATGATACATACACATAAAGGAAATCCATAATAACCTGTTAGATATAAGAAAATTAAGCTAGCTTACTAGATACAATAATGAAGAAATATAATTACTATATACTAATATTAACCATATTAAAATTAATAAACTAGTAACACTGAGTGACAATTCTGGAAAAAGCTGGGTGACAGGAAAATTGGTAGGAAATTGTCAGTGTATACCTTTTTGAGTTTTGAGAAATTTGTAGCAAATATATTACCTATTCCAAAAAATAAAACTGTTTTAAAAGATAAACTATAAGCTATTTAGGATCAAAATGTGCAATTCTTTATGAAGAAAAGTGCAAAATATTATCAAAGGACCTAATAGAAACCTGCTCAATGGATAGGTATACCATGTTCATGGATAGGGAGCTTAAGCGTCTTTGAGTTTCAATTCAGTCTCAAGTAATTTATAAATTCAGTATATTTTCCCACAAAATCCCAACTGTGTGTGTGTGTAAACTAGATAAATGGATTTTAAAAAATTCATATGGAAGAATTAATGCCCCTCAAATAGCCAATATATGGAAAAGGGAAGGTAGCCTAGTAGACTTGCCTGATAAGATATAAAGACTTAAAAGCTTACAGTAATTGATGGGTAGGTTATAGTAGGTCACGACAACACAACATTCACACTACAACTAGTAAAAACACCAAAATAATACTTTTAAACATCAGAAAACTGTGGAAGCAAGAAGAACTAAATGAATTGGAATTTCAGAGGAGGAAGCCCTTCTGAGGTGAACTGATGGTCTGGTAATTTTCTTCCCTGGGGGCATTTGCTGATTCTGGGCCTGGGACTGAGGACTGGGTTTGGCCCATGCAGAGGGGTTCTTCTGGGGAAATGAAAATCACAAGGCTCTTGTCTACAGGGCACGCTGGAAACCTGAGGTACCCCAAATACATGACTGGATTTCTCACAGGACACTTGCTGAACTCCAGAGCTGTCCAGGGCATGCAAGAAGCTAAGCCCAGGGCTTCCAAAAGGCAGAATGAGATCTCCCACAATCCCACCATATTTAGGAGACAAAATTTCATTAGCTGGAGGGGTTTACTCAAAACACAGGAACTTAATGGTTGCCTGGCACTGGGGGTGGGAATGGGAATTGCAAACAAACATAAGGGATCTTTAAGATGATGGAACTATTCCAAATATGGATTATAGATAAGGGTCTAATGTCCACAATATATAAAGAATTCTTATAATAATAAAAGAGCAAGGATGTGAATAGACCTCCCTTTAAAGAAGATACAAAGATGGCCAATAAACACACGAAAGAAGCTTACTATTAGTCATTATGGAAGTGTAAATTAGAACCACAAAAAATGGCCTCTAGTGTGGCTATAATCAAGAAGACAGACAATTATTAAGTGTTGGCGATGAGGTGGAGGAATTACAACTCTCATACATTGCTGGTGGGAGCATAAAATGGTGTAGCTGCATTGGAAAACAGCCTGGTGGTTCTTCAAAAAGTTAAACATAGAGCAACCATATGACCCAGCAATTTCACTCCTAGGTTTCCTAGCCAGGAAAATTAAAACTGTCTGCACATCTTGTACATGGATGCTCATGTCAGTTATAATAGCCCCCAAATGGAAACAACCCAGATATCATCAGATGAATGGTTAAAAAACAACAAACCCAAACCTGTAGATCTCTATATATCTATGTGTTCATGTACTGGAATACTATGCAGCCATTAAAAAATACAGATACAAGGCACAACATGAATGAAGCTTGAAAACATTATGCTCAGTGAAAGAGCCCAATCACAAAAGGCCACGTATTTATGCAAAATGTCCAGAAGAGGGAAATCTTAACGGAGACCGACAAGTTACTGGGTTGTCGGGAGTTGGGGGAGGAGACAATGGGGAGGGACTGCTGGCAGGTCTGGTGTTCCTTTCTTGAGTGATAAAAAGTGTTCCAAAACTAAATGATGGTGATGGTTGTTCAACTTTGTGAATACTAAAATATAAAAAAACCACACCGAATTGTGTACTCTCAAAGCGTGGACTTTGTGGTATGTAAGTTATATCTCAATTTTTTAAAAGTGCATGGAGGCAGCTCTGCCATGCTGAAGTTTTGGATAATCTTCAACAAAGTGGTTTGGCAGCTTTGTTGCCAGAGTTAGTCACTTGGCTTTCTTTTGTGTTTGAATTAAAGTTAACAATTTAAGGGGCGCCTGGGTGGCTCAGTCCGTTAAGCCGCAGACTTTGGCTCAGGTCATGATCTCGCGGTCCGTGAGTTCGAGCCTCGCGTCGGGCTCTGTGCTGACAGCTCAGAGCCTGGAGCCTGTTTCAGATTCTGTGTTTCCCTCTCTCTGACCCTCCCCTGTTCATGCTCTGTCTCTCCCTGTCTCAAAAGTAAATAAAACGTTAAAAAAATTAAAAAAAAAAAGAACAATTTAAATGTCATCCAAAATGTATTCTTAAAAGGGAAAAAGGAAAAAAAAATGAAAATAAGTTTTGTTTGTTTATTGTGAGAGGGAAAGAGAGAGTGAGCAGGGAGGGGCAGAGAGAGAGAGCGAGAATCCCAAACAGGCCCTGTGGTGCCAGCGCAGAGCCCGACGATGGGCTTGGACCCATCCATGAAACGAGATCATGACCTGAGCTGAAATCAAGAGTTGGACGCTTAACTGACTGAGCCACCCGGGCGCCCTGAAAAAAAGAATTTTTGTATAAACCATTTAGTTTTGTTCACCTAAAATGGGTGAATTCTACAGCCTATAAATTATGCTTCAATAACATGGTTTTTTTTTTTTTAAGCTAAAAAACACAAATCTGAAATTAAGAATTTATTTTATGGGTTTAAACAATAAAACAGCAGAAGACACGATTAGTGCTCAAAGGTAGGTCAACAGAAAAAAAAAACAAAACTGAAGCAAGGCAGTAAAAAGAATGCAAAAACAAATCTACAAGGAAAGAACACGAGAGAGAACACAATCTAAAGATAGGTGTAATTTTTTTTTTTAATTTTTTTTTTCAGCGTTTATTTACTTTTGGGACAGAGAGAGACAGAGCATGAACGGGGGAGGGGCAGAGAGAGAGGGAGACACAGAATCGGAAACAGGCTCCAGGCTCTGAGCCATCAGCCCAGAGCCCGACGCGGGGCTCGAACCCACGGACCGCGAGATCGTGACCTGGCTGAAGTCGGACGCTTAACTGACTGCGCCACCCAGGCGCCCCAAGATAGGTGTAATTGAAGTCACAGGGAATGGGGTAGACGCAATATTGGGTGAAATAATGGCTGAGAACTCTCCAGACTTGTTGACATCAACCCACAGATTCATTAGCCTCAGCAAACCCCATAAGGAATCAAAACAAAGAGACCACAACATAGAATACTAGTCAAACTGCTGAAAACCAAAGGCAGAGAAGCCTGAAGACAGCCAGAGAGAAATGACCCATAACCTTTGAAGGAGTCACAATGAAACTAATAGCTGACTTCTCAGCAGAGATGTTGGAAACCAGAAGAAAGGGGAATCTTCAAACTGCTGAAAAGAAAAGGAAAGGAAAGGAAACCCTACCAACGGAGAATTCCATACTTTCGTGAAAGTATTCTCAAAAGCTAAGTCAAAAGGCATTTTCACAGAGACAAAAGCCGAGAGAATTTGGCAACAGCAGACCAATGCTACCAGATACTGAAAGAAGTACTTCAGCCCAAAGGCAAATGACCCCCAGACTGAGGCACAGAACCAGAAGGAGGAATAAGCAATGGAAATGGTAAAATCTGTAGGCAAATGTAAAAGAATATTGACTACTTAACAACAACGTCTTGCAGGTACGCACTGTCGTATATTTTATTTCTGTGGAAGTAAACATTTACATATCTATATTCTGCAGAAGTATATTTTATGGGACATATAACTGGCTTACAGAAGTAAAATGTAATGAAGTAAAATAGATAACGTGCAGTATATAGCTGGTTATATATTATAAATATATAACATTGATGGAGGTGTAGTAGGAAAGTAAGCGGAGTTAAGTACTTGTAGGATCCTTACATTAAATACTGATTTAAGAAAACTACAAAAACCATAGATAAGTTTTATAATGCCTAGGGTAGCTATTACGATAATTATAAGAATAAACATCTAAGATTCAAGGGGAAAGGAATTTTTAAAAAAGCCAATGAATCCCAACAAAAGGACAAGAGGACTAAAGGAATAAAGGATCGGACAAATTGAAAAAATAGAAAAAAGTTAGCTGTAAACCATATACCATGAGTAATTATATTAAATATAAGTGCACTAAACAATCATTAAAAATCAGAAAGTGGGAAGTGTTCCTCTGTCTCCATCTCTCTGCCCCTCCCCTGCTAATGCTCTCTCTCTCTCAAAAATAAACGTTAAAAAAAAGTCAGAGAGTGTTGAATGATTAAAAACAAAGTCAAAACCCAATATTTGACACATACAAGAAACCCACTATAAGGATACAGAAAGGTTGAAAATAAAGGGTGGAACAGTCAATCTGTCGACACATTAATCAAAAGAAAGCAGACATAACCATTTATCATACAAAGCAGGCTTTGAGGCAGAAAGTATTACTAGAGCCGAAGAAGGACATTTTATAATACAGGACATTTAGGGTATCCTTTTATAATGAAAGGCTTATTTACTTGGAAGA